AAACGCAAGGCCTGGTCTACACAGGCAGCAGAATGAGATGCATACAACAGTCCTCCAAATAACCAATTCATAGTATACAAATGCCCTGTCAGGTAGGACTCTTTCAGTATCCAAGAATAGCACAAATGAAATTAGCCTGGTTGATGTGAAAAGTTACGCTGGTACATTCAGGGACATAGTAAGGAAGACTGGACCATTTCAGGTAGTAAGTGAGAGATGCCATTTTGGAGTACTTCCACCCCTATACAAACCTCCTTCAAGTGGAAAACAAAATGAACAGGATATGATTCTAAAGTAGCCCACTCCTTGCTGTACTAGTTTTATTTATTTAAAACATTTGTATGCCACCTTTCCACCCAACTTAGGTTCCCCAAGGTAGCAATCAAAATATTAAAATAGCATTTAAAACACAGATAAATATATATAAAATATTTAAACAATTGAATAAAACATATAAACTCTCAAACATATGTCTCTGGGAAGTGTGCAAACAGGACGTGAATGCAACTGCACAATCAGTTTTATTCTTACAAATAACAAAGACACTACAGGAGTGACACATGCATAAAATGTGAGAGCCACAAATTACAGCTGTAAATCTACAATAGAAGCACAGCTAGTCCTTAGCAGACTCACTGCTCAAAAAATAATAAAATGACAGCAAATCGCAGGGGTCCCCTGGTCTGCCAGAGAAGGGCTATTTGTGATCACACCTATCCTGGCCCAGAGTCAGAAACGTAGTATAATACCTTCATGAAATGTCCTTGAAACAGGAATACTACGTCCCTAGACTTCTTGACTTGGATAGGGCCTAATAAAGGTATTCTGCTTCTGCTGCAGCTTAGGTTTTTGGGGTTCCCCCCCCCCAAATGAACTGTCATGGCTGCCTACTTTTTATCAATAAAAATAGTAAGGGAACAACATGAAGGCAGTGTTTAATTCATAGGTTGGGACTGGGGTTGCCCGTCTATAGGTGGAATATAGACTTCTCCCAGAATTACAACTGATCTCCAGATTGTGGGGATCAGTTTCCCAGAAGGGTTTAAAAAAAAAATCTTTATTTATGTCATTTATAGTCCACCTTTCTCATCTGGACTTAAGGCAGATTACACAGTGTCAATACGATCAACAGAATGGGGTAGTCAATAAACAGTGCAACAGTATTGGGATTGTAGAACCAATCAGAAATCTAAAAACTGAACTGAAGCAAAACCAAAGTATTAACATGACAAATTAAATGATACAAAAATTACATAGTAGGACCCTAGTTTCAGCAAATTAGACACAGGAGTATAAACCACCGCCCCTAATGATTTATCCAAGTGACTTTGTGCATCATTTAGTACAGTGCAACTCCATTTCCTGCGTAGAAAAGCTATCTTGAATAACTCAGTTTTGCATCATTTGCAGAAATCCAGGGGAGTGGGAGCCTCCCCAATCTCCTCAGGCAGGCCATTTCACAAGGTGGGGGCCACCATGGAAAAGGCACGTGTTCCGGCAGTTGTTGATTTTGCCCATTTGGCACCTGCAGAAGACCTTGCTCAGATGAGCAAAGCCACCATGGCGGTGCATAAGGGAAGAGGTGGTCTTGCAAATATGAGGGTCCAAGGCTTTGTATGTGACAGTCGATACCTTAAATTGAGCCCTGTAACTGATGGGCAGCCAGTGGAGTGCCTGCAGGATGAGAGTAATATGCAGGTTCCCTCTAGCTCCTGATAATAGCTGAGCAGCATTCCACACCAACTGGAGTTTCTGACTTGATTTTGAGGGAAGAAGACCAATGTGCAGTGAATTACAATAGTCTAGTCTGGATGTCACTGTGGCTTGGATCCAAGTGGCCGCATCAGCTGTAAGGGGGCATCTTACAGGCTAAATGGTAGATCTGGAGGGTAGACTCCATGGTATATCATATACTGAAATCCCTCCCTAAACTGCCCCCACCACAGGGACCCTGCCAAATCTATGGGGACTTCCCACCCAGAGTTGGTAACCATAGCTGGGATGCTCAAGAGAGTCACAAAGTCTACCTTCTGGGTCATGAGCCCCTGTAGTGCTACCAGCTTGTATCCAGCCATCTGCAGGACTGTGGGATTAAGTATTCCTACTTCCCTTTAATGCTATACCTCAGGTAGTCCC